TCATGTAAACGTGCAGCATGCATCTGTTTAGGCTTTTTTCATGTTTTTTTCTTCCTATTTTTGCTATTATTATGCTATTGCTGTTGTGTAAAACAACAACAAAATCAAAACATAGAAGAAAGGAAAAGAGAGAGTTGGCATTAGAGATTATAAAAGCGCATCTTAATCATGTAAATTGATTTAATAAATAAGTTTTAAAAGGGATAAAAATACCTTTTCTTTATGTTGGGAAAGGGGAAGGAGAAATTATTTTCTAAGAGAGATAAAAGAAATAGTTGTATTTAAAGCTATAAAACTATTTGGGTGAGTATTGAGTGAGAGGGGTAAAGAGGTACCTTTATAGTATTCTTGTTATGTGAGAATTAGGAATTCTCTTTTTAATAAGGATAACAAGAAAAATAAATTCCTTTTTAATTAGGATTAATGAAACAAAGAAATACTTGTGTAATAAGGATTGTTGGTGGTATTTTTGTATTTTTCTGAAAAATTAACAAAACAAAAATAAAATACAGCGAAATGGATTACAAACTGATAAAGGTCCACTCTTATCTTGAGTCTAATTGTGCATCATTGCCTCCCTTTTCTTGGACTTTCACCACACTTTCTGAGTAATGACGAGCCAACCTCCAACCTAATTACAAGAATCCACTCTAAAGAGGCCATTGTAGCCTTAAAGGGTTCCGTTGTAGTCTTGTCAACTTCGATTCATGTTATAGCCTTGTCATCACTAAAATCAAACAAAGAAGACGGAGGGCAAATTTTGTAGAGAATAGGTGTGAGAGCCAAACATCCAACTAGTTAGTGAAAGCATACATGTTTGAGAAATGTTCCAAGTGATCATAATAACAAAATTGAAGCCAAAATTTAATTGAATATACGGAAAATTTATGGAAAGTAATGTTTTGGTCTAATGTAGATTATGTCAGACAGCTTACGGTAAATTTGCAGGGTTTGCGGGGCTTTGCCTTTTGATTTCAATTTGAGCATTACAAAGATGTGTTCAAACTTGGAAAAGCTATGCAAAGGATTTATGAATGCAAAAGCATAAAACATCTACCGGAAGTACGAAAAGGCAACGAAGGAAAACTTGAGGAAGTGACGTAATCCCCATGTTTATGTAGGAAGTGGTGTTGATCTATTTTGGATGATTTGTATGGTGATTCTATGTTCATTTCGTGGCTGTAGTGTTTGGGAATGGTGGATATAGTGCTTGAGTGGTTTCATTTGCTGGAGAAAGGAAGAAGCACGACTAAGGATGCTAAAACATGTCTAAGGATTTGTGAATGCAAATTTCATGATGCCTTGAGTGAGAAAACTCTAGCCTTTAAGGATTGGAGATAAGTGATAAATATTTAATAATTAATAAATTTGAGATAAATAGAAATTAGGATTTATATTAAAATATAAGTCTGTTAAGAAATAAGATGGAAAATCATAGAGACTTAAGTGAGTCCAATTACATTTAGGAAAATTATTTATTTAAATAATAAATAATTACTCAGTGAAACATCTAATATTTCAATAAGATAAAGAATATTGAAATAGTAAAAAATAAAAAGGCTTGGAAGGTTGAAGTAGTAAACTTTTAATAAAGAAACATTTTTATAAAATAAAATACCTCTCCAAAAATTGGGAAATTTAAAAATTGAGCTTTTTACTATTTTTATAAGATTTTAGAAAATATAAAATCAGTAAACACGATTTTGCACTTAAAAGTCAACAAGTTGTCAAAATGGGGATATTTTCGTAATCTTGGATTTTTTTTTTTTTTTTTTTTGTAAAAAATCTGGAAAAACTTGTAATTTCATTTCTAATTACGCATAATGTAATTTAGGAAGTTTTTATAATTTAGAAAGTCATTTTGAAAATAAGTTATACTTGTGCCTTGTTACCGTTTTCGTAGCTTATTAAGATTAAAGTACCAAATTAGAATCCCCAAGCGGGCCTAATTCAAAAAAGTACCTCGGCCTTAGAACGCCTAACTGGACCCTCTATCCTACCACACTATAACCTACCAAAATGCACCATTAAACTGCTTAGTCCAGTCGGTCTCTCAAAGAGGGTTAAGAGAACATACCTTGAGGTCCTTGACACGGGGGCCAATTTACCTTTTTTCGGAGTGTGAGATGGCCATTGCGAGCTGCCTTGACAAAATTGGGCATCAACAACCCTAAATTCATTTTTTTTTTTTTTTAAAGAGCCAAAAATTCTCTGTCTTAAACTTGTGCTATTTTCCCCACATAATTATTCCCAAACTCAATTTTAGGTATTTACATTTGTTATGCCCAAAAAACCAGGGCTGACGTGAGCTTAAAGCAGCAAAGAACAACTAGAATTCAGGAAGATTTTCTACCGTTTGGATGCAGCCATGTCCCGCAAGGACAAAAGGGGTAAGGTAATCGTCAGTGAGGCAGGTAAACGTCAGGCTTATGAGTGGCTAGGAATTGTCCACTTGTTGAAGCCCCACGCGATTTAAGGATATCTCTCATGCAGACAACCAATAGGAAACGGGTTAGGAATTGTATCACACCTACCCGCACGCAGAATCATGATTACCAGCTTGAATCCTCTAACTATAAATAGATGGCTCTCCTCTATTTTACAGGATTGGTTCATTCGCCGCTCAAAACATATACTCACTCCCCCTTTCTACATTTATTTTCTCTATTGTAATCCAACTCGCCGAGTGCGACCTGATTGTAATCACCCATTAATATAAGTACAGTGGCCCTAGGATTTGCCTTAGAGCATTCGAACAACTTTAAAAAGTGCTACCGTTCAATATCTCTAAGTCCGCATAGCACTTCACACGCATGAATAGTTGGTGTCAAAATCAAGCATCAACAGTTTGGCGCTAGAATGAGGGCTTGATTTAGTATCCGTTCTTCATCAGAAACCTCTGACTAATCCTGTCCACCAACAAACGGCTCACAATTTCGAAACTGAGCAAACCAATCTCGACAATGAGGAAATCCCCCAGGTACAAATGACACTTCTCTTAAAGTGCCACCGGTTTAGCAGAGTATCAAGGCAGATATTCCTTCAAGCTCACAACTCGACCCGGTCGTAATGAATTACCTGGAGAGGTTCAACAATACTCTCCAAATGGTTAGCCAAAGGCTAGACTGTTTGGATCGAGTCACACCGTCGGAGTCTAACGAGGCGGTGCCGCTGCCAAAGAAGCCTGCAGGTCATGCGAAAGCACGGAAAAAGACTAAGGCCTATACCCTTGCACACTGTAACGGATAAGAGTAAGGGGAAACAAGTGGCGAGCAGTGGACCAAAGGGCTTCGAGGGACTAGCGAACACCGGTCGCTTAGCGGATAGAATACCCGTGTCATTGCCACTTAGTGACATATCGCAACATGAGTCGTCCCATGCCACGTCGTATGGGCACACCCATAAAAGTGCAAGGCGAGGAGATTCCCAGCCTCATCAAAATAATGGTCCCGACCATCGCCGTCGAGGTAATCCCCATTGTTTGTGGGTCGTTTCTAACCACCGCAGAGGTTGGGAAAACTGCCCGAGCCATTCGTTACCCTTACACTGCTCTAGCTAACGTGTGCCAAGGTATGCCAAAGCCTCCGGTCGAGTAGAGGAAGGGCCCGACCTGCGGTCTTTCCTCAATTGCAATTGTGAGGTCGAACCCATGTTACGGAAAGTAACCCCTCTATAACTCCGCTATCTCAGATTGAGGGGTTGCAGCGACAATTGGATCAACTCAAGGCTCAGCAAAACGAACCGACGCTGAGGTGTCTCCCTTTTCTCTAGCAATACTAGCTGCTCCTCTCCCATAGAGATTCAGGATGCCCGACATGCAGGCATTCGACTGAAATTCTGATCCGCAGGACCACCTCTGCAAGTTCAATGACCTTATGGAACTCTACCAAGTCTCTGACTTGGCCAAATGCCGCTGCTTAGCAATGACACTAACCACCCATGCCAAGCGTTGGTTCAGGTCGCTCCCCACAGGATCAATAAGCTCATGGCAACAAATGAGCTCATTATTCTTGAGGCACTTCCAAGCAAACAGGAAGTTCTCAATGCCATTGAGCTATTTGAGCAATACACAGTAGGAGAGGAATGAGTCCCTCCAATCTTATATAGATAGATTTCACGAGGAACTCCACAAAGTGGCTCACATTTTTGAAGAGTCCATTAGGACTCTCATTATCGTATGGGTCGCCCACAGACTGACTTATGGAAAGAGCTACAATCTGAGGACGATCTTTCCCTCACTCGCTTATACGACCTCATTGAGAAGTATCTCCAAATAGAAAATTATGTGGCTACTCTCAATCGCCACAACCCCGGTTCTTCAACCAGTGTTCTTGATCGGGGGGAGAACAGTAGAAGGGCTGATTGCAGTTGGGCTAATGATGATTAGCAGAAAAGAAATAAGCAGCGATTTGAGCCCAAAAAGTCTTATGCCCCAATTCCTCATAGCAATCGCGACAAAAATCAATGCTTTCCTTTGAATGCCTCAGTATCAGCCATTCTAGATAAGTCGGAGGAGGTCAGCCTGCTCGAAGAACCGGAGCCCATGAAGAATCCCCCCTCAGCTAGGAACAACAAAAAGTATTGTCGCTCTCATCAGGACAATGGGCATCACACTGATGAGTGTCGGGCTCTCAAGCAAGCAATTGAAGACCTCATCAAATAGGGGCACTTCAAGGCATATGTTGACTATCCGACTCCCATTCAGGAAAAGGATCAAGAGGAACAAGGGAAGAAACGTCGTGGTCGCAAGGGGAGCTACTATGTAAGGATCATTTTCTAGGGACCACATCTCGCGGGGAACTCTCGAGGTGCCCAAGAAAGGTATGCTCGAGAAGCTCACCATGACCCCTTGAGTGTAATTAAGCCCAGCACTACGACTCGCTAAGATCCGCAAGGAAGAAGAAATTATCTTCTCTGAAAAAGACGCAGTATGATTGCATCACCCCCACGACAATGCACTCGTCATCGCGCTTGAAATAGGCTGGTGTGAAGTCCACAGAATGTTGGTGGACAATGGAAGCGCCGTGAATATCCTATTGCAGCAAGCCTTCAAAAGAATGCAATTGGACGAGGCAGACCTGAAGCCTACCTCTTTCCCCTTCTACGATTTTACTAGGGATCATCTAATTCCTAAGGGAACGATTGCACTTCCTATCACGTTGGGTGAAACCAATGAAATGACCAAGATGAGGGAGTTCTTGGTGGTAGACTATCCATCCGCCTTCAATGGCATCCTAGGACGACCTCTGCTATGGAATTTCAAGGCTGTCACCTCTATCTACCATCTGAAGATGAAGTTCTCCACCTCATCGGGGATCGAGGAAGTACAAGGATCCCAACGCGAATCTCGCGATTACTACATAAGGGCAGTCCAAATGGCGTGCAAGGGAAAGGGAAAGCCAATGGGCGTCCCCGAGCAAGTCATGGCGATTAGTAGAATCGAGCCACAACCTAGACCAACAAAGGAGAACATGGATCCTTGCATCCAGGAGTGCCCTCATAGCGGGCTAGTTGAGGACCTATCTGAGGTATCAGTCGATGAAAACGAGCCAACCAGAGTATTAACAATCAGGAGTAATCTCAACCCCTAACTCGCTGAAAGCCTAACGAGCTTTCTCATAAAGAATGTCAATGTTTTTGCATAGGCTCACGTTGATATAGTCGGGATCAGCCTGAACATAATATTTCATGCACTAAACATTGACACTACGATCAAGCTGGTTCACCAAAAGAGAAGAGCAATGGACCCTGAATGCTATGCTGCCTTGAAAATTGAGGTGGATAAGCTCATCTTGAATGGGTCTATTCGAGATGCACTTTACCCGAGCTGGGTTGCCAATCTAGTCTTGGTAAAGAAGCCCAACGGTAAATGGCGAACCTACGTCGACTTCACCGACCCCAACAAAGCCTATCCGAAAGATAACTTTCCCTTGCCAAGGATCGACCAGCTCGTTGATGCCACCTCTAGGCATGAGCTGCTGAGCTTTATGGACACCTACTCAAGGTACAATCAGATCCCGATGTATGCACCAAACGAAGAGCATACCTCGTTCGTTACATATCGAGGACTGTATTGTTACAAGGTTATGCCCTTCGGCTTAAAGAATGCTAGGGCAACTTACCAGTAGTTGGTCAACCGTTTGTTTTCTGAACAAATCGACAAAATGATGGAAGTCTATGTTGATGACATGCTAGTTAAGTCGCATATCGGTTTAGATCAAATAGTGCATCTCGCTAAAATGTTTGACGTGCTCCGGAAGTACAAGATGAAGCTCAACCCTCTCAAGTGCTGATTTGGGGTATTTTAAGCAAAGTTCCTGGGTATATGGTTAACCAGCAGAGAATAGAAATCAGCCACGAAAAGATCCAAGCTCTCCTCGATATGAAAAGCTCTACCAGCAAAAAACAGGTTCAGAGTCTGAATGGCAAGATAGCGGCTCTAAGTTATTTCACATCAAGAGCAACAGATCGTTGCTTGCCATTTTTTAATGTACTTAGGGCTAACAAGAAATTCGAATGGACTCTAGAGTGCAAACAGACCTTTTAGAGTATAAAAGAACACCTCGGAAGACCACCTCTCCTGTCCAAGCCTCTTCCCAAGGAAATTCTACTCCTATAGTTGTCCGTCTCCCAGCATGCAATCAGTGCAACTCTCATTCGGGAAGAAGGCAGAGTTCAATGGCTAGTATATTACGCGAGCAAGTGACTGCTGGACGCCGAGATGTGGTATCCAGAAATGGAGCGATTAGTTTATGCCCTGCTGATCACCTTTAGAAGTTGCGACCCTACTTCCATGCCCACACAATTCATGTTTTGACCAACCACCCGCTCAAGCAAGTTCTTTAAAAGCCGAAGGCTTCGAGTAAGTTACTTAAATGGGCAATGGAACTGAGTCAATTCGATCTACATTACAGATCGAAAGCAACCATCAAAGGACAGGTTGTTGCTGATGTCATTTCAAAATTCTCGTACCAGCTCGATTGAAGATCTGAGCAATCTACCAGCGAAGTCGTCTAGGAGACCATTGAAAACCTGTCGACTTAGAGCCTCTATGTCGATGGTTCCTCGAATAAGAAAAGGGCTAGAGCAGGTCTTCTCCTCCTTAGTCCCGAAGGGCACGCATTCATGGAATTTTGGGTTCCAGGCTACTAACAATGAGGCTGAATATGAAGCGTTGCTCACTAGTCTACGACTAGCAAGAGAAATGGGATTCGACACGATCAGCATTCACAGCAACTCCTAACTAGTTGTAAATCAGATCTTGGGAGAATACCAAGCTAAGGAAGAAAACATGATCAACTACCTGAAGAAAGCAAAGGCCGCACTCGAGCCTTTCAAACACTTGACGATCACACAAATCTCGAGAGATAGTAACTCTGTTGTGGATGCCTTGCAAAGATAGCCTCATCACTAGACTCAGGTGTGTCGGATAATATTCTAGTTCGATACATAGAGATTCCTAGCATCAGATCACTTGAACAAATAGTAGCCACAACAGAATCAATCTCCTAGATGATCCCAATCATTCAGTATCTCCGAGATGGGACCCTACCCAGCGACAAGACTGAGGCAAAAATCCTATGCACCAGAGCTGCTTGTTACACACTCATCGAGAATCAGTTGTACGAACAAGGGTTTAGCGCCCCTCTCTTCCGATGTGTAACCGACGAGGAAGTAGATTATATTATGAGGGAGATACATGAAAAGATCTGTGGTAATCACAGTGCCACTCAATCCCTCACCAATAAGATTGTCCGCTAATGATACTATTGGCCCTTACTTCAAGAAGACACTTTCAACTTTGTAAAAAAGTGTGACAAGTGCTAGCGGTTCGAGAACATCCCGCGAGCTCCTTCCCACCAGCTGACGATAATGACCAGCCCTTGGTCATTCTCTATGTGGAGAATGACCTTAGTGGGCCTATGCCCGCCGGGAAAGGGGGCGCCAAGTATGTCATGGTCGCGGTAGATTATTTCACAAAATGGGCCGAAGCCGAGCCCTTGGTCGCAATCACCACTAAGAAGCTCAAGGACTTCATCTTTAAGAAGATAGTGTGCCACTACGAGATTCCACATACCCTCATTTCTAATAACGGAAAGCAGTTCGACAACGAGGAATTCAAGCAATTTTGTGATGAGCTAGGGATCTAGAAAAAGTTTGCCTCCGTCGCAAGACCGCAAGCCAATGGTCAAGTTTAAGTTATCAACAAAACCATCAAGCACACTTTGAAGGCAAAGCTTGGCGCTGCCAAAGGTAATTGGGTCGATGACCTCCCTGAAGTTCTGTGGGCATACTGTAATGCCTAACATGGAGGTACATGATTTAAATTATGTTTTATAGCCTTTAGTTAATTTTTATTAAAGTTATTTTAAGAGAATATGAAGAAAATGCCTTAAACTTGCATTAAGGGTAAAATGGTCTTTTCACTCAAAATTAGTTGAAAAAGTGGGTAGTGAAAAGAGGTAGAATTTCATAAGGAATACAATAAAAACGAGGGCATTATGGTAATTGACTAAGGGACAAGGATGGAATTTCTACAAAAATGCAAGGGCAAAATGGGGAAGTGAGTTTATAAAATAAGATGATAAGGGTTTGTGACCCTTATTTCCTTCATTCCACCGCCACACCACTCCCCCATTTTCTCTCAAATTTTCATTCAATCCTCTAAGGATTTTGAGTGGTTTTTCATAGGGTTTTGATTTTAGGCTTCAAAAGGTAAGAATTCATGCTCTTTATCTATGATTTATTTGTGTAAAAGTTGAGTTCTTATGAAGTTTATGCTTAAGGTTAGAAGAAGTTTTGAATCCAACAAGAGTAGAGAGCTTAGTAGAGAAGACTCAAGCATAAAGTAAGTAAATTCCACTCAAAATCCAACTCAAGTTAAAGTTTAAGAATTCAAGTGAGTAGAGATTTCTTTTAAGTATGCATATGTTATGATTATTGAGAAATTGAGATGAGATTGATGATGAATTATGCTTGTTGTTGGATATATTTGAATATGAGAAGTGTATGTGATGGTTTGATGATGGGTTGAAATTGGAAGAATTGGAGGAATTTTTGGGAGTGTGTTTGCCGTATAGGTATGGTGATGCTACAAGAGAGATTTTCTCTCATTTTTCGATGGTTGAGAAACAAATTGAATGATAATTAAATTAGGGTTTGTTTATGCACAAGTATTGTTTGATGAAATGCCTAAGAGAAGTATGAGTTGAGTAGAAACCTTAATTTTATGCAACATTGCATATATATGTGCATTTCATAAGTGCATTTAAGTAAGAATTTCAAGCATGAGCCATCCATATGCATATAATTATGTATGTATAGAAATTTAAGAAAGAATAGAGAATAAAGACATAAAGAATAAAGAATAAAGCAAGAAAGAATAAAACACTCTAAGAATAAAGAGAAAGGAAGAATAAGCATTAAAGAATTAAGAAGTGGTAAAGAAGAGAAAAGAATAGGTTGTTGTGATGGGCAACCATGAGTGCTAAGAAGAAATTCCCACATACACGCCACCTTAATTGAGTGGCATAAGAAGAAGAAGAATTGTACGACCTGTAAGAGTGTATGTGGATGAGGGTTGTACCAAGAAGAATTTCCTACATGCACGCCACCTTAATTGAGTGGCCTAAGTAGAAAGAAGAATTTGTACGGTCCACAAGAGTGCATGTAGATGAGGACTGTACTCACTCACACGGCCAAGGTTCCAAATCCATACATCAACCGAGACCGATCGGCAAAAAATAAGAAAAGAAAGAATAAGAGAGAAAAAGAAAGAATAAGAGAGAATAAGAATAAGAAAGAATGAGAATAAGAAAAGAAAGAATGAGAAGGCTTAAACAAGCCAAGAAAAGAAAAGAAAAGAGAAACAAGAGAAGAAAAAAAAAAAAACAAGAAAGAAAAGAATAGAAAGAAAAGAAATAGAACAAGAAAATGGAAATAAGAAAGAAAAAGCATTTTATACATTATTGCATATGCATTTTATTCATGCATATTGCCATGAATTTCATCATGGTTAGGAATAATAGAAAGAATAAGAAAGAAGGAGTAGAGAGAAATAGAAAAAAAGAAAAGAATAGTGAGAGTAAGAAACAGAGGAAGAAACAGTGAAAGAAAAGAGAAGGAATTAAGTAAGGAAAGAATCAAAGAAGAATAAAAGTTACGGGATTTACTTACTGAGCATTTTTATGCTCACCCCGTTGTTTTTCCATGTTTTTGCAGGAAATAGGTGAGCAGCGGTCGGAAGGACATCGACAAGCGGAGAGAATTGGCATTACTGCCCACCGTTGCTAAGTTTTTGTACTTGTTATTTTGATATATGTAAAGAATTATTTTTTGTATGTAAAGAAAAAAATTTGGCCCCAACTATTTTCATATGCTAATTATGTATGTTTTCATAGTATATGTTATAAAATATACTATTAGAAAGAAGTCATTACACATGTAAAACGACTCCGAGAACCTCCACTTTGGAAATGCCCTTCTTGCTAGCATGTGGCTACGAGGCGATGATCCCGGTGAAAGTAGGGACCGGTTCACTTCAAAAAGACTTGTTCAACAAAACAGACAATGAAGCGCTTCTACGCACAAGCCTAGACCTAGTCGAAGAACATCGCGACAATGGTCGGTTGAGAATAGCATCTTACCAGCAACGTGCGAAAAGGTTCTTCGACTCCAAGGTCAGAAGAAGAGACTTCCAAGTCAGTGACCTGGTTCTAAAAGAAGTCATTCTCAGCACAAGGGAACCAAGCACGGGGGTATTAGGACCCAACTAGGAAGGTTCATACCACATTGCCAAAGTGCTACGACCAAGAATGTATCACCTCAAGAGGCTTAACGGTTCTGAGGTACCACAAGCTTGGAATGCTGAGCATCTTCTCCCCTATCATCAGTAATTCTAGGCTCGCTCTTAGTTTTCCATCTCTTTTACTTGTAAAGTTTTCCTTGTAACCTTTATGGATAAGATCGTTCGTCTCCACCTTGAATGAATGTCTTACATGATCTTGTTCGTTGTGATTCTACAAGTTTCTTGATAAGATGTGATATTAGTTTTGTAAAGTATTCGAGATTGTAAATGTCTAAAAATACTCTTTTCATATATGTGATTTGAACAAGTACAGTAAGCAGC